CAGTATTATAGGGACATTCGCTTTCAGCTGATTACCCCTCTTTTAATTAAACTCCCCGGGCATTCCGATAATTTTTACTTTCATTATTTGTTAAATAATCAAGATAAATTTATTTCTTTAAAAGTTGCAGAATTTTGCTATATAATGTGTAAGCTTCGCCCGCAAATGGTTGCTAATAGTTATTGATGAAAGGGGTAATATTGTTGTCCGTTTTATTATATGTATTTTTATTGGTCAATGACTGAAATAAATATGATGATGGTGATGATGATACTGCCACCACATCTTAGTATCTTGATCAGGGATTTAAAAAGTTATTTTATATTTAAAAAGCACTAGGCCCCAAACAGTGATTCTTTTTGTGTGTGAGAGGGAGGCAGAGGGACAGATGTATTTATGCAGGGATGTCACTGTAGTTACACTGAATGTTATTTAATCAGTAAGAATGCATTCCTAGACTATAAGACCTTGTTTTCATATCTATATTTATTAAACATTTAAGCAGCATTTCCCAACCTGGTGCATTCCAGATGTTTTACACTTTAACATGCTGGCTGAGAACTATTGGAGCCAAATTCTGGCACATCTGGAAGACAACAGGTTGGGGAAGTCTGAAGTGTAACTTCTCCTAAAATTCCATTTGCAGCCAAATTCAAATTGTCTAGGTTTTGCTGAAATGTCAACATTTTCAATATGTATGATTTCATATATACCAAGCATCATAATCCCTTTAGTGTTCATCTGATCTGGCTGCCATCTGTTTTTATAGCACATAATTAAATATGATTTAAAGGTGTCTGAGAGGGTAGATGAACTAATAATGCTAAGGGATCTGGTCATTTATTAATTGCTATGCTAAAGTAAACCATTTATGCAATAAAATAAAAGAATAAACATTATTTCAAGTTTTTCTCTGCAGCTGTATGGACTAGGAAAGTACTCAGACGTTCCTCTGTATCCATGAAATTACAAGTAATGGATTTGGACACACCAGGTACCTCAAAGATGAGTTGCAATTGTAAACTGCAAACATGTAGTAGAATTTCTATAAGACTGCTCATGTTCTTCTAGCTGTGGAGTTCAACTACCACTGTTTGAACTCACAGCCTCTTAAATCCATCTCATTTTAAGAACAGCAACATCTACCTGCTATAGACAAAGATTGTAAAGTCTGTATCTTGATATAAGAAATACAGTTGAATAGAGACACCCAAGTGTAAAGCTATTTTTTGCATAATTATTCTATCTGAGTAGAAGCTGATGAAAACCACAAAGATCATAAGCACATACTTTTTTACACTGTGGTGATGACCGTACGGGTATTCTTAGGCATGTGATTTTCCTTGGCATCCCATCAGTGGCCATTCTGCTCTCAAGATTTTAGTAAAAAGTCTTCATTCTAAAAAGATTTTTGTTTTAAAAGCTCTAACTTAGTCAATTGCCAAAACAAGAGCCACCCGCTCCTTTCTGCATCACTGTTTTCCCACCCCATGTTCTTATCTAACAGGATAATTTTGGAAAACCTCTGGTTCATAAAACTGAACTCAGAAAAAGAAGAACAAAGCTGTTGCTTGAAACGTTCAAATTAATATACAACCCACTGGAATTATGAAACCAATTTCCAGTAATGCAGGAGAGGAAAAATCCAGAAGAACACTGCTCTAGCACTTTTTAAAGAACTGGGGTTGATGTCATCTGCCAGAGCACAAGAGTACTGTAATGGATAGAGTTCAGTTGCTCTATCAACTGAATGAGGTGATGACAAGGTCTTAAAGCATTAGAGTCAGATTATATAGAACAAAAATAGACAATGTGGTGCCCACTGCATCAGTGTGCCCAGATACCTTCCTTGGTCCTTATCAGGCTCATAGTCCTATCTAACTTAAAAAAAAAAAAATTAAATAGAAAGGTGGCTCATTATAAACCAAAGTGCCAGCTGCTAGCCTCATCATTATTTGCTGCAATGACTTTTAGAACTATTGGGATGATAGAGAATATGCTGGGAGGCTAGTTTACTTTCTGATAAATGTAAAGATAAAGAGAGAGAAGTGGCCATGCCAATAGGGTAATTATTTTGTGAATAGGTAAGTC